TGCGAGGAAACCATCGAGGCCACCGTGCGCAAACGGAGGCTGTGTTTTGCGGGCTTCATTATGCGCATGGGGGACAACCGCCTCCCCAAGCATATGCTGTTAGGAGCGATGGCGGGGGGCGTGGGATACCGGGGCGGGCAGGAGAGCGACTGGGTGTCTCGTCTAGGAGAGGACCTCGTGGCCTTCAACATGGGAGACGAAAAGGAAGGGGGGAAATGGAAAGAGAGCGCCAAGGATCCGGAGGTGTGGTACAACAAGGTCGAGGACGGGGCGGCATGGCTCATGAGGAAATGGCACAGGCAGGAGGCGGAAGCGTCCGCGAAGCGCCAGCACGCGAGGGAAGGAGAAGCAGGGAGTGTGGCCATCTCAGGACCGAAGAGAAAAAGAGCCGGGGAAGCGGCGGTGGGGGGGAAGAAACGGCGACCGGGCACTGCTGTAGAAGCGAGTAGGGCGGCCGAGGCAGCACTTGTGGCGAACTATGTACCCGGCTGATGTTGTTGCGCCCTGTTTCCCTCCCTGCTGTATGCTATATTCCTTTGTGTACGTCCTTTGTATTGCCTTCGGCCTCTGTGCTGTGTTTCTTTTATTTTTCATGTCCTCCCTGCTTACTCTGCTGTGTTGGGTACCTTGATCTCGCTTTTTTTTGCTGTTGCTTTTGTTTTTTGTACATCTGGCTGTCTGCCCATCTGCAGCCTCTTTGTCCTGTTTGCTCCGTAACTCCCATGCCCTGGTGCGTAGTGCCTGCTGGTGGTACGTTACCCTTTGATTTTTTCTTGAGGCGGGTGTGAGAAGCGTCCTTCTTTTTTTTTGTTTTTGTTTCATTCTGATCGGTTTCCGAGGGCTCTTTTCTCGAACGGTCGGTGCGATACCTGTCATTTACATTTTATCATTTTGTTTTCTTTTTCCGAGTGGTTTGTACCCTATTTTTGTTTTGTTTCCCCACGGCGTCTTATGTGCCGGGCTTTGCGGCCACGGGCTCCCCATATTTTGTGGACCATCGAGCAAATGTGAGAAACGACAACAACAACAACACACACCCAACACCTTCGCCGTCAACACCTCCACAAACAAGACACCACGGCAGACAGCACAAAGGGACGGGCTACTGGTGGCCGGGTGGTTGCTACTCCAGCGAGATTCAGAGAGCAGGGCCATCTCGGCGCTGCTGCCGGCGAAGGATCGAGCGCACGCGGAATGATCCCGGGCATCTCTGGCGCATCGTCGGCGCTACACACCCCATCTGCCCCTCCGGCGAGGGCCGCCACAGGGTCTAGGTCATCAGGTCCTCCGAAGATGAGGGGAACCCTGCTGGATATAACGAGGGACGAGGAGGTCGGCGGCATTGGTGCCGGCGGCGTTGATGTCGGCGGCGATGATGGTGCCGGTGGCGACAGCAGTAGTGACGACTCCTTCGACACGGACCACCCTTCCAGCAACAACGGCGCGGCAGCCGGAAGCTCGGCGCGCACGGCGCTTGATGTACCGGTACTCCCCATTGTGATGGACATGGGTACAACGCCGTCGAGGGCGAAATCTCCATCCCCAACACCGCTGCCGTCGGTGGCGTCCTCCGCGACCCAGAGGTCCCTCAAAAGTAACAAGAACAAGCCCTACTCACACAGCGTGGCCTGTCAGCCTCCTACATCGCTATCCAGGCGCGAGGTATCTCCGGCCTTTCGAGGGTGGGGAACAGCTTAGTGTTGGAGAAGGCCCTGGCCGATGTAGACAAGGTGTGTGGGCGCCCAAGCCCCTACTACGCGGATCTCGAGGACAAAGCAACAGGTGGGAACCCTCTGTGTGTTTGATTTTCCCCTCTCTCATCCCACTGTTCATCTACCTCTCTCTGTACAATCTCTCTCTCTCTCTCTCTCTCTCTCTCTCTCNATGTAGGTGGTAGACTTCGCGCTATTTCGGTGCATGTCCCTACCGCTGCATCAGCACCAATGTCATGCGCACGAAAGCTCCAACCCTAACCGCTTTTTTTTCATGACACCTCTCTGCTCCACCCATGGTTGTCAACCTGCGTACTTCCAGGTGAGACCCCGGCCTCCAAGCCCCTAACGGCGTCACCAGAGACCGTCGAGGTTCCGGAGGCCCTGGTTTTGGCTGTGCGTACCGCCATTGGCAGTGGGGCGAGCATCAACCCGAAGAAAATGATGGACTGGGAAGAGAATGCCTACCTCGCCAGTCGCGTTTTGGAGGTGATAGCGGNACCAGAGACCGTCGAGGTTCCGGAGGCCCTGGTTTTGGCTGTGCGTACCGCCATTGGCAGTGGGGCGAGCATCAACCCGAAGGAAATGATGGACTGGGAAGAGAATGCCTACCTCGCCAGTCGCGTTTTGGAGGTGATAGCGGATGAAGACCGCACGCCAAGGGCCGACGTCACCACCGCCGGCCGAAGGAAGAGCAAGCATTGCGTCCCCCGGGCGGTGGAGCTGATGATCGCCGAGCGCTTCAGGGAGCGCCTTACCGCGAGCAGGACGCAGTTGTCTAGGACGGAGCTCGACAATAAGGAGTCGGGCAACAAGCGGTCGGTATACTTTGAGCTATGGAAGGACTTCAAGGACACGGAGGTGGAGGTGAGATGTGAATGTATACCGTTTCCGTTAGCCCGCAGGAACGTATTTTTTTTAGGTTACATTCAAGTCTAACGTGCTCACAGCAATCTAGCACCCAGGGTCAGGGGTTTGAATCCCGTCGAGAGGGAGATTTTATTGCGAAGTGAGTGTTTATCTCGCGCCCGTCCTAGCGCTAGTTAATGTGCACCCTTCTCGAATTTTGTCGAAGACAAGAACCACAGGAGGGTGGGTAGGAGCTTTAGGGGGATGAACCCTTTCGTGTGACAACGGATTGTTGAGGTCCTATCCAGCAGCAAGAACGTGTGCCAGCGCTCATTTTAAGGTATTGACAAAAAAAGCGATGTACTTCGTCAAACTCGATCCGCCTGGTGTTCCCCCATGAATCTCCCAACCTTCCCACCCCCCCAAAAAATATGTATACAAAAAACAACGCCCTTTTGCGTGGTCAAACACCTCAAGGACGACGAGCACATCACCGCGGCACAGATCGACCCGAACATAGTCCATCAGCCCGACATTTCGTACGACAAGTTCATGAACATGTTGAAAGAGGTGAACAGGGACGATGGCGACTGCCACCACAACATGAAGAAGTCTGGGAGTCGCGAAGAATGGTACTCCTTCTGCCGTGGTAAGGTCTGCTTCTTTTTTTTGTAGTGGCCCTTGTGCAATAGGTGGTACAGATAACGGCACGTGTCGGGGGGGTACTCCTAGAGAAAAAGGCAGTGGTTGGTCCACGCGTCGGGAACTTTTGTGTTGAAATGTAGTTGAATTATATTTCTGTAGCGCGCACCGTGCTATGCTTGGGACGATGCTGGAACAATAGGCCGGACAATACAGTCAACGTCGATCAAACATTGCTCAACCACTGCAGAATTCAATCAATCACAAACAGGGGACTTGCCTTGTACCAACAGGTTTTGTGTTGCGGCGATAAAAAGTTCCGGTCGTGGTCTTTCGAAACGTGGTTCGTCGAGAAATGAGTACTGTTCGGCTCTTCGCCCTTGTTAGTTTTGGGTCATGTAATGTGCAAGTGTTCCTCTGTTGGTCGTGAACGCCCGACAAAGTACAGCCCCCCCACCCCCCCCCGGTGTTTACCATCGGGGTTAGGTTTTCGTCGCTTGGCAACGACGTTGTAAAACAAGCCGCCCCCCCCGCAATCTAGACTTAAGTGGGTTGGCGCTGTTGGCAAAGCGCTGTAAAACACGCCACCCCAAATATAGCCCCCATAGTATGTGCTACCAAAGACGCGTGACGCATGGATGCGTGGCGTGAGGATTGCTTACGGAAACCTCACAGGTTGAGTGATGTAGGAGATTGCCGAACACATAGACGTGTTGAGTGAATATAGCTGTATACTGAAACCCCACGGGTTGAGTGAGGTTTGAGATTGCCAGACACATGGACGGGTTGAGTGGGGACAGCTGCATACTGAAACCCCACGGGTTGAGTGATGTTGGAGTGCCGGACACAGAGACGCGTTGAGTGAGGATAGACACATACTAAAACCTCACAGATGATTTGTATTGGAGATTGCGAGACACCTAGACGTGTTGAGTGAGGATAGCTGCATACTGAAACCTCACAGACAGATGCATTGGTTTTTCAGTTTGCCAGACACATAGTCGCGCTGCGTGGGGATAGCTGCATACTGAAACCTCACAGATGGATTGGTTTTTGAGTTTGCCAGACACATAGACGCATTGAGTAGGGATAGCTACATACTGAAACCTCACGAGTTGAGTGATGTTGGATAGTGCCGGACAGACGCTTTGAGTGAGGAAAGACACATACTGAAACCTCACAGGTTGATTTGTATTGAAGATTGCCGGACACATAGACGTGTTGAGTGAGGATAGCTGCATACTGAAACCCCACAGATGGATTTGTATTGGAGTTTGCCAAACATAGACGCGCTGCGTGGGGATAGCTAAATACATACTGAAACCTCACGAGTTGAGTAATGTTGGATAGTGCCAGACACATAGACGTGTTGAGTGACAAAAGCTGCATACTGAAACCTCACAGGTTGATTTGTATTGGAGATTGCCGGACACATAGACGTGTTGAGTGAGGATAGCTGCATACTGAAAGCTCACAGATGGATTGGTTTTTGAGTTTGCCAGACACATAGACGCGCTGCGTGGGGATAGCTACATACTGAAACCCCACGAGTTGAGTGATGTTGGATAGTGCCAAACACATAGATAAACGCTTTGAGTGAGGATGGCTGCATGTTGAGACCTAACGGGTTGAGTGACGCCTGCGACTGCCGAACACATAGACGCATTGAGTGACGAAAGCTGTATACGGAAAGCTCACAGGTTGATCGGTATCGGAGATTGCCGGACACATAGACGCGTTGAGTAAGGATAGCTGTATACTGATCCACAGTAGCTATAGTGAGGGGACAATTCAAGGATACAGTGCACATAGACCCGACCCCTAACCAGTACCCGAACCCCCCCTGAAATATAGAGGCCATGCGCCCCCCCCCCTCTACCTCCCCCAGAGGATGAGGAGGGTACAGTCCAAAGTAAGCACAAGCTTACCTAAGGTTAATGCCTATTGGTACGGCATTAAAATAAATACGAAAGTCCCCCATTGGGCGGTGGAGGACTCAGAGCTAAGACACCCCAAAACTCTCCGGCGTGAGATCCAAAATGGATCGGAAGGTGGAGGGGGGGGGGGTGTTCGTTGCTTGAAGTGGATCGATAAAACATAGAGCCATCAAAGCAAAGCTTATTACTCACGTCGAGCAAGCTGAACGACCGGACCAACCACGCAAAAACTGCGGAGCTAGATGTGCGGCACGCACAATGCACTGTTATCGATTGGAGAGAGGCGAGTATAAAGCAGTAAGGAATTGATGGCCAAACTTTCGGCAGATAGGTCTACTCGGGAGCGTAAGTGGGGTAGCAACCCATGGTGGAGCGTACATGAGAAGCTGGACGTTGGTGTACGCTCCATCCCGGCGTGTGAGTAGGATCTTAGGCTATGCAAGTCGTCCCTGAACTTATTGTGGTGAAAATGACCTCCCAGGAGGAAAGTAGCGTGTACCGCGGGATTTCGGATATGATAAATTGGGTGGTCGGGGGACGTCTGGGTGTTTACTAAGCAGAGCGCCCGGCACAAGACTGGGGTACTTGTGATTCAAGAACTGTTGTAACAGGGAGGGACTGCACTGCCTAGCAAGGGGACAACAAGTCGACAGAGAACATGAACACTGTCGGGTAAAATTGACCAAGGGAGACAGCCAAGAGTGCTTGGGGGTTGACATCGAGAAGCTGTCGAACTACGTAAGGAAGTTTGGATGGAGGGTTTGCATCGCGAACATGATAGAAACAGAGAAGGTAAGGAGACAAGAGGCGAGGGCGACGGAGGCGAAGAAAGGACCGAGCAGGGCAGTCGAACAAGCAAGTCAGAAGAAGTCCGAGAAGAAGCGGAAGGCGAACGATGGTGTGCGCAAAATCTCCAATAGGGAAAAGCGCAAGCTGAGAGTCGAGGTCGTGGAACGTGTGCGGGCTGCAAGGAGTGAGCGCAAGCGGTTGGAAATAGCGGACCAAGTAGAACAAAGCGATCTAGATGTAGTGGGGATCCAAGCGGATTGGGAATTGAAGGATGGGGACGTAGTACGCAAACTAGGGAAATACCGGTGGGTAGGGAAGGCAAGAAAAGGCTTAGACCCGAAGAAAAGGGGAGAGGGGGGAGTCGGATTCCTGGTCAAGGAACACTTGTTTGACGTGGTGGAAGTAGTGGTGAAAA